CATATTCCCTCATTCTTTTCCTAATTGCCATTTTATTTTCTTTTTATTTCTAAACCACTCATCCTAGGCATCCCAGGCCCTATAGTAAATTGAATCTTCTCTGTCTTTTATTTTCATCGTTAGCCTGCCCATCTCTATACAATCTATTATTATTTTTTATAACCATGCCTTCTGGTGGAATCCTTTTTTCTTTCAAGAGTTGTGCACATGAAATCCTTGCAGCTGTTAATATGTGTAACATGATGTATCTATCTGTTTTATTGCATTTTGTGTTATTATACCTAATAAAAAAGTTTCCTGATTAAGTTCAATTTTCTGATTTGTGATTTCTTCTATCTTCATTCCCCCCACTAGACTGGCAAAAATGTTTAACTCAGACTCAAATTGTTGGAAATGTGGAAAAGAAATAGGCACTTATTTCCATACCTGGTGGACATGCCAAGAAGTGGAAAAATATTGGAATACAATTAGACAATGGCCCCCTTTATCATTCTCATGGTGTGGCACCAGTTATAGAGAAGACGAGAGAAGGCTAGCTCCACTGGTATGGATGCGTCCAGAGAGCAGCACTTTCCATCATGGCCAAAACTGGAGACGCAGCTGACCATGCAAAGTGGCGTTCAATGATCCAAAAATGGATCCTGCATTTGGAGGAGTAGGGGTAAAGGTTTAATGACTGCAGATCATCATACGTATATCAAGAATGACGAGAATTGGTTCCAGATGAATGATAACTAAGACAGCTGGGTAATTTCAACAGATGCAGCCAAGAGGCTGTAGTGACACATTTCATAATCCTGTTGTGCACCGTTTTGTCTCCCCAGAAGCGCTTGGCTGCACATCTGCAAGGAAGTTCTCCATCTGGCTTTGCTTTGACAGCCTTGTGAATGCCAAAAGATAGTGATGGCAACATTGATAGCCTTTTCTTCTATCCTCTGCAATTGCTGACATGCATTGGAGTTATTTCAAATGATTGCTAGTCTTTAGTTTAGTTTTTTTTTTAATGGAAGTATGAGTATGAGAAAGTAAACTAAATACTCTGTGTAATGTGGTGAATCATTTTAGGAGGAGCCTCTCTCTCTCTCTCTCTCTCCCTCCCTCCCTCCCAGTGTTGTAGTCTCCTCGGACGATGAGGAGGTTGTCGAGGAACTTGGATCAGTCCTGGAGTCTGAGGAAGGCTCTGATGGATGCCCTGTGTCAGAAGCAGAGATAGGGCCAGGGCTTTCTGACATTTCCCAGCTGCCTTCGGAGTTGGAGATAAGTGGGGAAGAAGAACAGCTGAGGCCTGTTCCAGATGCAGGTATGTGCAGAGCTGTCTGGAGAGGAGAACAACTGAGAAACAGGGACCGACTCAAGAAGAAAGGCACACATGTTCATTGAATGACCCCTCCCTGGGGAATAAATAGAAGCAAAAGGGGGAGTGGTGGTTGCAGGAGACAATTAGTTCATATTTCTTTTGGAAGATTTGCTTATCAGAATTCGTGCCTCACAGAGACTCCTTGCCAAGAATTAATTTACAGCATTGTGACTGGAAGCTATGGCCTGGCAATTATCTAAGGACTGATAAGGTCTGTTCTTGCAATTAACCCTTGGGAGGATTATTGCTGGGACTTTTCTGTGTGTGAATGCCATGAATTCACAGTAACTACGTAAATAAAGAGGAGGGTTTTTTTTTCAGGACAAGGAGTCTTTTTCTTAGCTCTGCTAAGGCTGGGTCAGAACAGCCTCCCTCCTTCTCTCCCTCTCAACATTTCTTAAAGCAAAAGATTTAACTATTTCTTTTAATTAGTAGATTTATATTATCAACTTACCAAGGAGAGATCCACTAAAAGCTAGAACTAAGGAGAAATTTCTTAACGGTCAGAACAATTAATCAATGTAACAACTTGCCTCTAGAACTGTACTTGTGGTCCCAGGTCTGGACACAAAGCCAAGACTTCAGGGTGTTGAAAAAAGTCACAGCTAAACTAATCTCCAGAGGTTGGGTGCCAAGGCTTAAAATGATCATCTTTGGAATCTCATTGGCTGACATTCCACAACTGGCGGGTCCTGGAAAATGTCCCTCCTGCTGTTCTTGTTAGAGTCACATCATCTACCCCTGAGTAAATATAGGACGACTATTTCTAGATTCCGTTTTAATGTTCTCCCTTCTGCATTGTTGTTGTAGGTTTCATAAGACGCCTTCTCTTCCGGGACTTTGCTTTTGTGGCTCTAGGGAGGCAGGAACTCTTGTCCACCTTGTCCTTATGATGTCCCAAGAGCTGTTTTGCTCTCCCCAATTACTTCCAATTTCAAAGGTTATAAAGATTTATCTTTTTATACTCAATATTTTTAAGAGGATGTTAAGTCTTCTCTAACTCTTACATTTCACGTTGCGAAATGCCTCTACCGAGCCATACATTAATGCAAAGCTTCAACGTGCTATTCTTATTTATTTTATGACCATTTTTGTTTTTTGGTAATGGATTTTTTTTGTAGCAAACTACTTTCTCTTGTTCTTATTTATAATGCTGGTCAAAGAGCAACATAAAGCAATTTCATTTCCAAAGGAAATTACAGCTTCTTTGCAGGAGTGAGAGTGTCCTTAGACAATTGGCCTAGCAAGGAACAATAATTAGGTAATTCTTGCTGATTACAAAAAGGGGGGAAAGAGGTTGGAATTTGTTAAAACCTGGATGGGAGACCATCAGCAAATCACAGGGTTGAAGGTGAGATTGGGAATGTGAAAAAAAGTTCCGGGGGAAAAAAAACCAAAAGGGTTGTTTTGTATTGCCAATAACAAAAGTGTATTGATAAAGCAAATTTTATGCTTTTCTCAGTGAGATCCTGTAATGCAGGTTGTCTCCAAACTCCAAATGTAAGACTTGTGGACTTCAATAATTCATCAGCCAGACCATTCTGGGAGTTGAAGTCCACAAAATTGCCAAGTTTGGAGAATCCAGCTGTAGTGAACTATCTGAATTTGATTGACTGTAGCTATTCTGAAGTATGATTTTATAGCGCTCCTTGGTCTGTACTATTTCAAACAGGTGGCCGCAGCATCAGAGGTGGGTATTCAGCAGGTTCTGACTGGTTCTGGAGAACCGGTAGTGGACATTTTGAGTAGTTCGGAGAACCAGCAAATCCCACCTCTGACTGGCCCCGCCCCCATCTATTCTCCGCCTCCCGAATCCCAGCTGATCGGCTGGGTCTTCTTTGGTTGCCCTGCACAGGAGAACGGAACTGGAAAGCAGGTTAGTGGGGTGAAGAGGGAATGAGGATTTTGCAGTATCCTTCCCCTGCCACGCCCACCAAGCCACACCATGCCCACCAAGCCATGCCCAAAGAGCCGGTAGTAAATTTTTTTGAATCCCACCACCGCATAGCATTCTGTACAGAAAATTGTACATGTCTCAAGCTTTTATTCTTTTTCCTTTTAACATTGTACTGGAGACATTTTTGATGTGGAAATTGGCAATATAAAGAAAACAATAGCAACAGATTTGACTCTTGGATAAATATGGCTGAAAGCAAGGTTAAGCTGGATCGAGAGGAATAGTTTTCAAGGACAGGAAACCAGTTTCGTCATCTTTTTATAGACATTATTTGTGCCAGTTTCTTTCTTCTTCATGAAGGAGGTGAGCAGTTTTATATGGAGTCCATCAGATGTGGCAAGAGAAACTCAATTGGCAACCTCCAAAAATGGATTTCTGGCATCCCCAAACCATGACTAGACCAGCATGGGGCCTGTAGTAATTTGACATAAGGAACATGCTATGTTATAGAGTACATGGGCCTAATCTATTTTGAATTGCTATCTAAGCATTACAATAATCCAGAGATCAGATAATCTCTGGATTATTGTAATGCTTAGATCGAAATTAATAATCCGTCAGCAGGCTCTTATTTTATGTATATTCCTTAGTTATAATTGGATTTTGGATGATGGACAGGTAGCTTATAGATAAGGTCTGCATTGCACCAACGAATAATATTAAAACCATGACCGCTGTGTCCCTTTAGAAATATTGTAGGAGAAGAAAAGGCAAAACTGGAGGGTGGAGTTAAGTAAGATAACAGCCTAAAGTCACTACGTTCCCACAAATGGTCTAAGTCCAACTTCTCTTGAATTCCATTGATTCTTATTTACCACCAATTTAGTATTGAGCATTAGTTGACTAGATTCTTGGGTATAGGCTTGAATAATAGATCTTCTGAACTGGCATTTACATGAGTTGCTGATTTTTTGTGTGCCTGAGAAGAACCCAAGAATCCTAACCTGCCACTTGGCTTTAAATATGCCATCAATCTTTCTAGCCCTAATAGGAACATAGCAGAGGTAGGTATTCAGCAGGTTCTGACCAGTTCTGGAGAACCAGTAGTGGAAATTTTGAGCAGTTCAGAGAACCGGAAAATCCCACCTCTGACTGGCCCCGCCCCCATCTCTTCTCTGCCTCCCGAGTCCCAGCTGATTGGCTGGGTCTTCTTTGGTTGTCCTGTACAGGAGAACAGAGCTGTAAAGCAGGTTAGTGGGGTGGGGAGGGAATGGGATTTTGCAGTAACCTTCCCCTGCCATGCCCACCACCAAGTCACGGCACATCCACCAAGCCACGCCCACGAGAACCAGTAGTAAAAATTTTTGAATCCCACCACTGCTTCAAACCCAAGAATACACTAAGGCAGAAGCTTGTCCACCCCAAAGATAAAACACCCAGACATAAACTGAGCAACGTGGTATATGCAGTACAATGCAATGAGCCACGTGCAGATTTGTACATCAGGCGGGGGAGAAACAATTACTTCATAAGCACATGGCACAACATAGGAGGACAAACCCATCAGGACAAGATTTAGCAGTCCATCTGCATTTAAAAGACAAAAGCCGCCCTTTTGAAGACAGCAAACTCCACGTTTTGGATAGAGAGGACCATTGGTTTGAAAGAGGGTCCAAAGAAGCCACCTATATCAAAACTGAACAGTCCTCGACAGAGAGGAAGGGATGCAATATCATCTATCTCCAATCTACAACACAGTCCTTTCAGCAGTTCCAAGAAGGCTCCACACCCATTTGCACTGCTCAGGTAAGGACACAAATAAACCAAGCGGCCTCAACAACCCTCGAAAAGGATGCAAATGACCAGCTTTGCTTTTCTCCAGATTAAAATTCATTTTGTTGGATAGGGCCCATTGTTCAAGTCCTGAGTGTGTCTTCTGGAGTGTTGGCGATTTCTGCCAGTTTAATGTCATCTGCAAATTTGATGTCTGCTAGGAATATAAATCCTTCCATTCTCCACCATCCAGTCAGAGCTGAAGAAGCTTCTTGGCTGAGAAGTGAAACATCTTCAAAGAAAAACCCAGAAAGTCCAGTTGCCTCTTGAAAAAAACACCTTTGGAATCTCTCTTTGTGAAACTGAAGATGTATTCAGCACTCTGAGCTACTACAGACTAAGTTTTGGTGCTTTTGTAGGTTTCCTTGTACTCTCTGAGCTTGCAGACAATTTATTACCAAACTAGGTAAAATCATCAGTGTTAGTAGGGAGTGTGGGGTTTGTTCTCATTTTGTATATTAGTGGTTCGTTAGTGTTGGTCTTCTTGGTAATTCCTTGATTTGGCTGTTGTTTACTGTTAGCTTGTTTGGCAGTTCCTTGATTGCTATTTTGATTGGTTGCTTCTTGATGGTTGGCTCTTTGATGATCCTCTCCGTGAAATTCTTCCAGGTTCCTAGAGAAACCTGCTCATCTTGTTCACCCCTCCTGTGATGATCTGGGACATGGCACAAAGACAACCAAGCCAGATAATAAATAGGGGTCCCTTTATTATCTCCATCTTTGCCCCCAATGTCCCGGTTACCTTCCGGTTTGGAGAAAAACTCTCCCAGGAACCTGCAACAGTCTTTGGCTGCAGATATTCCAGTCTAAAACGTTGTAAACAGAAAACTTTAAACTATAAATCCAACAAAGCAAGATAAGGCAACAGATCCGGCAGGGCACGATAAGGAGTTCCAGAAGTGAAGTAACACAGGAGTAAATCAAACCAGTTGGGAGGATTCCAGGAACGCAGATAACAGTAGACAACATTAGATAAACTCAATGTTTGTTCCCAACAAACGCTTATCCCAACTGCCTCTCCTTTAAACTCCCTCCCCAGGTGTGTCTTGTGAAGGGAGTCAGGGCCCTTTCCTCCTTCGTAAGCCATGCAACCCACATTGCTCTTTCCTCCATTCTTCCCTGTGTGCCCTAGGATGAAGAGGGGTGGGCCTTGGTCTTTCTCTGAACCCCATCTCCCTTGTTCTACCTCTCCCCTGCTTTGCCCAGCCTGACTTTACCCTTCTCCAGTTTCCTCCACAGCCAATGGAGCCTTTCTCTGTCAGCTGTTCATCTTCCTCCCCAGAGTCAGACTCCGATGGGGGCATGACACCACTATTCTCTCTTTTCAAAGCCAAATATACCCATTTTTTCCAATCTTTCTTCCCAACCTGAAGTTTCTACCTCTCGGTTTTATTCTTCGTCCTCTTTTGCACCTGTTCTGGTTTGTCTGAACGATTCTTAAAATATTTCCAGAATTTCGGCACACCCCTCAAATTGGAATATGATTGATGGAAATATAATGGAACAAATGCATCCTGTGATTTGCAATTATACTTGTATTGATGCAGCCTAAATTCAGGTTTGTCTTTTTGGCAGCTGTCTTGCACTACTGATTCATTCTACATTCAACTTTTGACCAGCTACAGTTCCAAAAATCCTTTTTCACATGTAGGATTAGCAAGACAGGTAATTTTTCCTTGCTGTGGTTGTGCCTTTGATTTATTTTTCATAATTGAATACCTTTGCCTCTGTTTCAATTAAATTGGATTCTGCTCTTCAGAACTTAAAGCTTATTAGGATTTAATTTTTTTAAAATTTTCTGTTTCCTAGGATATTAGGTAGATGACCCAACTGGGTGTCATTCGCTAATCTGGGGATATTGCTTTTATCATTTTCTGCCCTTGAAATCGTTAATGAAAATATTAAAGAACACTCAGATGAACTATATATAATGCAGCATGACCCACACTTGATCCTTTCTCCAGTTTGGTGAAGAACCATTGGTAAGAACTTTTGGACTATGAATTTCAGTCTATTCCGGGGTCTTCAAACTTGACAGCTTTAAGGCTTGTGGACTTCAACTCCCAGAATTCCTCCTCCAGTCATGTTAGCTCAGGAATTCTGGGAGTTGAAGTCCACAAGTCTTAAACTTGCCAAGTTTGAAGACCCCTGGTCTACTGTGTATTTGGTAACCTATATGCCATCCAACCCACAGGAAATTAGCTTGCTAATCAGAATTCATGAATTTCATTTTCCACCTTCTGAAGGAGGAAGTTGTTAGAAAGACATGTCAGAAATTGTTTTGGCACAGTTTGTCTCCCAATAGTGCTGGGATCTTCTCCAACAAAGACAATGTATGAAATGACGTCAGATGTCTTAATCCTTTTCTTCACTTGAAGTTCATTGATGGCCTTTTCATCATCTGGACCTCTGGAAATAAATCACTCAACAAATTCCGTCATAATCTGAACAGCTTTCATCCACTATCAACAACCTCAGCCATTTACAGAAGAAGTAAAGATACATTGTGGACACACAAAACATTGTCCAGGCAGGGGCATGATTTGCCAGTTCTCCGAGCTGCACAGAAACATAACAAACGTTTCTATAGAACTGGTCCGAACTGGTAGAATCCCACCCCTGAAGACATCTCATCCAAGAAGCTTCTTCGGTTCTAAAGAAAGCAAAAAGTCTTCGAGCAAAAACAAAGAAAGGCCGGTTGCCTTTTGAAAGAAACCCCTTTGGGACAACCATGACCTGGATGCTTGAGAATCTCCACGGACATGGTTTTTTAGTCTTGAAGCTTGCAGAAATGTTATCCAGTTCTTTCTTTGGGATTTCTGCCAATGATTGTGGATATTTTAGCATGCCACACCATGTGTCCTTCCTTTCTATTGCTTTCCTAACCAATTACACCCTTCAACTTCTGTATTTCAATTATGAGAAACATGTCATCAGGTCCCTGTTAAGCTGATTAAATCATCTTCACCTTTCTGTAATAAGATTTCAAGTTCATCTTGTTTATTTCCCCTACTCTGAGAATCAGTACATAAATAATGCAGACCATGGATTTTATGAGTCAGTGTTGGCCCTTAGTTTGCACTGACTAGTTTAGTAGGGTCCAGTTTCTTTCTTTCTTTCTTTCTCTTTCTTTCTTTCTTTCTTTCTTTCTTTCTTTCTTTCTTTCTTTCTTTCTTTCTTTCTTTCTTTCTTTCTTTCTTTCTTTCTTTCTTTCTTTCTTTCTTTCTTTCTCATGCTGCAATGGGGAAGCCCTTAAGCCAAGCTGTTTCAGAATTTGAGCTTTCGTCACCTATCCCTGCAGGTTGAAAACTCTTCAGGTCAACGTTCCCTTGGGTTGGGGTCAGTCACACACTTCCAAGTTTGCGCAGTGTGTGCATTGCATCCTCAGCAGCCCATCCTCCAGGTTGCAAACCATCATTATAAAGAGAGAGTAGGATTGTGTCAAAAAACAATGGTTAGTGTATGCTTAAGTAATGCTACAGATACGTTAATGTAAGAGACGGCCAGGTTGAGTTCTAGGGTGGGGTCAAATGTATCACCAGTTTGAATTCTCTATGCCGCTGTAAAAGACCCTCTTTGAAGTCCATTGGTGCTTATCTGGTGCCAATTCACCTCAATTTTTAATAGATCCAATCCTTGTGAATAGGTAGCATGAAATAAACTTGTACTACTTCTGAACTCTATCCGGGCTCCTGACATTTTGCACCTGACGGTTAAGCCAACAGTGATATTGCAAACACTGGACTGGCATCAGAATATGTGTGGCTTGAGCATCTCTGAGAAAATATCATTTGGAAGAGGAAATGGATCATAGTAACACTGTCAAAGGACTAGCATTCATTTCATACTCTGGACACATTCTGGACATATATTTTTAGAAATATGTGGCTCAACTCTCAAATAAGCCCTTAAGAAGAAACATAGATTTCCACCCTTCCTGAAAGCCAGACCTCTCTATTTTGTACATTGCTACAAATAAACTCATCTAATGCTACCCACACACACAACCCACACATAGTTCCCCCCTCTGTCTCTCTCTCTCTCTCACACACGCACACATTCACACATGTGCTTTTCACAAATCCTTAACATTCATCTTTAGAATAAATTGTTCTCTTCCACCCGCACTGAAGAATCAGTTCCTATCTTCTTTCAATTTATTCTAAAAAAATAAAAATCCCTTTCTAAAATAGTTCCCCACCCCAATCTAACTTTTTAAAAAAGTCAAAAAAGCCAATGCAATCCTAAATTGCATTAACAGAGGGATACAATCGAGATCAAGGGAGGTACTAATACTACTCTATAAAGCCTTAGTAAGATCACACCTGGAGTACTACATCCAGTTTTGGTCACCACACTACAAAAAAGATGTTGAGACTCTAGAAAAAGTACAGAGAAGAGCAACCAGGAGGATTAAGGGACTGGAGACTAAAATATATGAAGAACGGTTGTAGGAACTGGGCATGGCTACTCTAGTAAAGAGATGGACCAGGGGAGACTTGATAGCAGTGTTCCAATATTTGAGGGGCTGCCACAGAGAGGATTGGGGGGGGGGGGGGTTAAGCTATTTTCTAAAGCACTTGTAGGCCAGACAAGGAATAATGGATGGAAACTGAACAAGGAGAGATTTAACCTGGAAATAAGGAGAAACTTTCTGACACTGAGTACAATCAACCAATGGAACAGCTTGTCCTCGGAAGTTGTGGGAGCTCCATCACTTGAGACTTTCAAGAAGAGATTGGACTGCCATTTGTCAGAAATGGCGTAGGGTCTCCCGCTTGGCTGGGGGGTTGGACTAGATGACCTATAAGATCCCTCCCAACTCTGATTATCTCTTATCTGTTAAATTAATTTGTGCCCCCCATATACATCTCTTAATACATCCATTTTATTTTTTTTCTGGTGGATGAGTTCTAGTGGTGGGCTTCAAAAATTTTAGCAACGGGTTCTCTGCCTGGTTGCTGGGTGGGCGTGGCCATGGTGGCCGTGACCTAGTTGGCCTCCTGCACCACAGCAAGGGGGTGTTTTTGCCCTCCCTGGGCTCTGGAGGCTTTTCTCGAGCCTCCGGGAGGGCGAAAATGGCCTCCCTGTGTCAGAGCTCCAACAAATCCACCCTGATTCCAATCAAAAGTCTCTAGCCACATCTCAGAGAAAAGAAAATTGGTTTATTAGAAATTGCCATGTTGGTTCATGACCGGGTGCAGCCGATACTAAATCACATCATACATTTCCCCCTTGACCCTGGTCTTTCCCCCACCCCCTGGATGTGACTTCTCCAACAGGACACATCAGTCTCCAAGAGTCCTCCATCATGTTCTCCAATAACCTTCTTATGCTCTGACAACTTTGGGCTGCTGAGGTGATTATCTAGGCATTTCAAGAATGCCTTGTTTTCCCCCTTTTTCTGGCAGCTAAAAAGACAAAGTATCTTTTTAGACCAGTATCTTTTTAGCTGACATGCCAGGCTCTGGAGGCTCTTTGGAAACCAGAAATGGGCATATTTCCGGCCTTGCCAAACTTCTGAGAGGCCCATTTTTCACTCTCCCTGAGCCTCTGCACACACTCTGCACTTCCCTCATCCAAAATGGGCTGTGTGGGGAATCCTAAGAGGGGAGGGGAGGGGTAGGCAGGGCCAGCCACGAGTGGGATTTGGAGGTTCTCTGAACTGCACCGAATCTTAGCGAACCCCCAGCAGCCCACCCCTGGATGGGTTAAATTACCTTTGTGGAAACTCCAGCTTCTCTGCTGTGTCAGGTATGGCCAGAAGATAGAAAATGAATTAGAGATCAGGAAGGAAGAAGTCAAGTATGAGTTGTAGCGACTGCAGGTAGAATTACGAAAGAAAGGAAACTTTAAAAGGAGAGATCAGGGCTCCAGATTTAGGACCCAAGGTACTGGAAAAAGTCCATGTTCCTCAAAGTCTATGAAGATTTTCAGTCATCCAGGTCATGGTTGTCCCAAAGCTGCTTTTTCAGGAGGCAACTGGACTTTTCTTGTTTTTTCTTTGAAGACATTTCACTTCTCATCCAAGAAACCTCTTTGGTTTTGACAGGATGGTGGTGAATGGAAGGAATTATATTCCTTAGCACATTTGCACTACACAGGTGACCCCAAGGAGACAGGTAAACCCCCAAGTGCCTTAACGATGCTCTAAAAGGATGCAAATGACCAGCTGTCTGCAAGGAATATAAAACCTTCTGTCTCCTGCAGTATAGAGGTCCTCTGTCATGCCCCTGTTGGAATCTGATTCCAAGGGGGAGGTCAAACAGCGACAGGAAGAGGGAGTGTGTCTCTGGTGGCTGTGGAGGAAACTGGGGAAGAGCACAGACCACCTGGGCATTCAGAGAAAGACCCAGGCCACCCCCCTCTTCATTCTAGGGCACACAAGGAGGAATGGAGAGGGGAGCAACGTGGCTTATGGGAGAGGAAAAGGCCCTGATCCCTTTCATTAGTTGCAGCTGAGGGAACAGGATATAAGAAGGGCATTTGCACACAGCACCTCGCTGGAAGCAAAGCGTGCATTATCTTTGTTTGTCAACTGTTATCTGGGTTCTGGCATCCTCCCAACTCTGTGTGTTTCGTTATCTTTTGAAGTCTTCAATTCCTTATCCTGCCCTGTCTCATTAATTGCTGCAGCATGGTTTGGGTTGCTTTTTATTTATAATTTATATATACTTTGGGTTCAGATGAAATTTCTTCCCTTTAAAAACTGTTCTTGGGGGAGTATTTTCTCCAGCCGATGATAACTGGACATTGAGGGCAAAGTTGGAGGAATTAGAGGGACTTTACCTACTTTTGTGACTTTTGTGACCCTTTGGGTCATCACATCCTCCATGGAAGGCAGGCTGGTTGAAATTGTTCTTTTTGCAGTCCTAACTATCTGCTGAAGTTTGATCCTGTCTTGTTCGGTTGCTGAACCAAACCAGACAGTTAAGAAGTAGCAGAATTTACAGTAGCTAAAACAGGGTTTCTGGGCCTAGTGATCCACCAGGAAGCATGGAAAACCTTAAGATATTCTTCTTGTGCCTATGTTTAAGAGGAACAGGAGAAAAAAAAATAATTGAGGATAGTACGTTGGTTTGAAGACCTTGGTTCTGCAATGCTACTTTTCCCCTCCCCAAAATGCTAGTAGTTTGATTTTATGTGATACATTGTGTGGGGAGATAAGGAGGATGAGCTTGGATGGAGATAAGATGAAGGCAGGTGAGATTATCTCCTTTCTTTTTTTAAGTGGCTGATGTGTGAGGGTCAGCGCAAGAGGCGAACCTTAGGAAAAAAAGAGAGATAAAACATCCATCACTCCTTCTCCTTTCGCAGTTTTTTTCTCCTCTGTAGAAAATATGACAAGGCTAGAAGTTTGAAGTAAAAAATGGTATAGCATAATATGTAGTATATTATAATATATAGTAGTATAAGTATTTATACTATATAGTTACAGTATATAAGTATAAATATTTAATTGTATCTCTCTCTCTCTCTCTCTCTCTCTCTTTCTCTGACTCTCTCTCTGTCTCTCTGTCTCACTCTCTGTCTCTCTCTTTCTTTCTGTCTGTCTCTCTTTCCCCCTCTCCAGCTATTAAATCTTCTGGCCTGCTAGTATCAGAACATCCAAATATCTGACTATTTTGTGTATCTGTATTAACCTGATTCCTGTTTTAAACATTGAATAAAATGTCGACCACTTCTTGTTGTTCTCTTGAGACTGTATATCCTGAGATAGTTTAGCTTTGGTGGTCAAACAACCACTGCGTCTTTCAAAGCATGATTGCAATATTTACTATGCTTTTAACCTCATCTGTGATCCAATGAGTATTTTTAGAGTTGGAGATTTCATTAAAAACTGATTAGCGAACTGGCGAATTGCATGATATGTAGCTTATAGCCGAGTTCGTTTTAAAGAAGACTCAGAGCTTCCTTATTTTTACTTTTTTTTAAATCATGGGGAGTAGGAGAACTATTAATAGTTCTGAGCCAAACTGTTGGCATTTTTGTCTTGCTCCAGGAAGAAGAAAAACCCAAAACTTTCAGGGGTGAAAAGTTTGCAAATGTTTGGCTTTTGGTATGGCAGCCAAGAACCCTAACAGACAGGCAGGCAGGCAGGCTGGGAAATAAGAAAATGTGTCCAGAAGTCATCTGGTAATAGAGTCAGTAACGAACTAAACATTAAATTAAACATAGGCCAGGAGAAAAAAGACTCAAGGTATTGTATATCTGTCAGCTTTGGAAGCCATATTGAGACCAGATGCTCCCACACTGCCACATTTTGAGCCTGGGAAAGTGGGAGGGGGGAATTTCTTGGAGTGTATGTTGTTAGACATAATAATATTCTTTTTCTGATTCAAGGTCATGTTGTGTTGCACATAAGTGAGAGAAAGTCTTAACTTGGGACGGATGGTGATTGAGCCATGTGATGTGATGATGGGTGCAGGGGATGGATTTTGTAGTTTTTTACTTATTGTAAGGAAGCCCGGCACTTTCAGATTCGGGATTCCCTAGTTGTGCTAGTTACTGAAATTTGGTTGTTAGGCAGGGGTGGGATTCAGCCAATACGGATCAGTTTGGGTGAATCGGTAGTTCGAAGCGCACGTACACTGAGCCAGTTGAACCCTACCACTGTGGTTAGGGCATATTTTCATGGAAGGAAAATTATGAGGGAAGTTCTGCACGTGTGGCCTGAGCAAAAATATTGAGAAAAAAGTTATGCCATCTTATCTAGCACTTCTCCTTTATGCAGTACAGGCGATCCTCATTTAGCAACCAGGATTGCAACTGGCAACTCGTTTGTTAAGCCAAGTTGTTGTTAATCATTGCTTTGCTTCTGATATTATTATTATTTATTATTATTTATTTTATTTGTCAATTGCTTACAAGATAATAGGTATAAGTAAAAACATAGTTATGAATACATGGATACATATAAATTTAAAAAATATAAAAAAACCAATAGGACAGGGACAGTAGGCACAATGGTGTGCTTATGCATGCCCCCTATAGACCTCTTAGGAAAGGGGTGAGGTCAATAGTAGACAGTCTAAGGTGAAAGTTTTTGGGGTTTGGGGAAGAAACCAGAGAGTCAGGTAGTGTATTCCAGGCACTAACCACTCTGTTGTTGAAGTCGTATTTCCTGTAATCAAGTTTGGTGCGATTAACCTTGAGTTTGTATCTATTGTTTGCTCTTGTATTGTTATGGTTGAAGCTGAAGTATTCATTGACTGGTAGGACATTGCAAGGTATGATTTTATATACTGTACTTAGATCGGACCAAAGGCGGTGTAGTTCTAAGTTTTCTAGGTCTAGAATTTCGAGTCTGGTGGCATAAGGTGTTCTGCAACGAGTAGAGGAGTGGAGAACTCTTCTTGTGAAATATTTCTGGACTTTCTCAATTGTGTTAATATCAGATACGTAATGTGGGTTCCAGACTGATGAGCTGTATTCTAGTATTGGTCTAGCAAATGTTTTGTATGCTCTAGTTATTAGTGTAATATTACCAGAGAAAAAGCTATGTAAGATTAGGTTAACAACTCTTAACGCCTTTCTGGCTATGTAGTTACAGTGGGCTTTAGCATTTAGGTCATTTGAGATGAGTACTCCAAGATCCTTGACAGAGTTTGGATCATCAACAAGGTCTTCACTATTCAGCCTGTATTTTATTTGCTGATTTTTTTTTTTGCCAATATGTAGGACAGAGCATTTATTTGTTGAGATTTGAAGTTGCCATTTGTTTGACCATTCTGATACATAGTCAAGGTCTTTTTGAAGGGTAGCAGTTTTGTCTGTGGTGTTGAATAGCTTTACATCATCAGCAAAGAGACGCAGTTGCTCTTGATATGATCAGAGAGGTCATTTATGTAGAGTATGAAAAGAGTTGGTCCTAGAACACTGCCTTGGGGGACACCACTGTTGACAGGTACAGAATTTGATAGGACCTCCCAATTTTGACCATTTGTTGTCTGTTTGACAGGAATGCTTCTATCCAGTTATGCAGGTGTCCAGAGATACCGTAAGATTTTAGTTTTGGGAGTAATTTGTCGTGTACCACTGAATCAAAGGCTTTACATAAGTCTATGTAGATTGCATCTATTGCTTTGCCCTGATCGAGTTGTGTAGTCTATATGTTTTTGCAGTGTAAGAGTTGCAGATTACATGATAGTTTTTCCCTAAAACCAAATTGTTTATTAGAGAATAGGTTGTTTGTTTCTAAGTGGAGGATGATGGATTGGTTAATAATTGATTCCATGACTTTACAGGTGACGCAGCATAAAGAGATTGGTCTGTAATTTTCAACTAGGCTGGGATCTCTCTTTTTGAAGATGGGGATGACCATGGCTTGTGACCATAGTTTTGGCAAGGAGTTGGTCCTGAAAGATTTTTCAAGGGTAGCTTTTTTAAGAAGTAGGCACATATTCCATCTGGTCCAATAGATAGAGATGGTTTTAGATTGTGTAGTGCTTTTTCAATATTGTCTTCTGTAAAATCGATATGTATTAGATCGTTGTAGTTGTCTGTGGTTCAACTAGGAAATACTGGGCATGATCCGTTGCTGTTTACAAATACTGAGCCAAAGAATGTGGTAAAGCGGTTGGCTTTTGTAGTGTTGTTGTTACAGTCTTTACCATTAGGTCCTTTCAGGGGTGGGATGGACCTTGAGTCTTTTAGTTTGTTGTTCACAAAATTGTAGAAAGTGCGGGTGGAATTGGTGTGTAGAAGGTTTTCTTTTTGTTTAATGTGATAATTGGTGCATTCAGTTTTAACTGGTGGCTTAAATTTTTGTATCGGCTTTTGAAGTTGGCAACATGACCAGATTTGTTTTTCCGCTAAAGTGATTTCTTTTTGTATTGGAGCTTCCTTATTGTTTTGGGTATTAATGGTACATATAGTTTGATGACTCTTTTGACTTCAAGTAAAAATATGTTGTAATGATCTTCTACAGAATTGCATCCAGAGAATAGAAATTGCCAATCAAGGGATGAGAGATAGTTGTTTATAAGATCATAGTTGCCTTTTTTGAAGTTATAATTGGGGATTCTGTTGTTGTGATGATTTTTGTGTGGACGTATGTTGAGACAAAAGTCAATCATGTTGTGCCCACTGTTGGAAAAGGATTCTTTAATTTGTATTCCCTAAATTGAATTCAAACTATTGCAGAAGATGACATCGAGGCAGTTGTTAAGTCTAGTGTTGTTGGTTACTAG